GACCAGTTAGCTCTACAACCGTGACCTCTCTGGTAAATATCTGCTTTCAAACAATAGACTTTGACAGATTCATGACAGTTTCATTGAAATGCAGCATTCTGTTTTTATTGTCCTTTATATTATACATAGGTTCGTTTTCCGCCTCGCTCTAAACGAACTTTCTGGCGTACCACAGAGGGGAAATGTCCTTTTTCTTTATCAGGAACTCCATTTTCTTTCCCCAGAACTTTGCAGAACATTTCATTTAACCTTGGTAGTGGAACCTGGGATTCCCGTCCAGATACAGAAAAGTTTTTCAAAAGCCTGAAGAAAAAACATGAGATTCTAGATCCTGACGACGAAATTAACGGTCATATATTTTGGAAAATATACCTTACTCACCATAACATAAAGTATTGTGCTCCTTGAATATTTGATTTGTTTTCATTTGATTCCAGATTCTGATTGCCAGCACTCGTCATGTTGACATTCAGACTGCGTTCCTCTAAAGCTCATTAGTACTGGTCCCATCAACCGCTGGTGCACATGTAACGATAAACTTGCCTTGTTTCAGCCCTTCTCTCTTTCTTACCATTTACTAGGGCGTGCGTTACACTAATACGTTAAATTTGAATTATAAGCTGCTCTCGAATTACTTACATTAATCTGCTATCAAGTTACCAAATCTCAATACATCATTGGCGTCTTGTTTCAAATCTCAACACAGGAAACCCAAAGCACTTTATTGATTTATTTATTCATGTACAGATTCCAAAGCCGGGCTCCCTGTGGGTTCGCCAGTACGTTTTTGTTGTGTCTGGTACCCTGCTCCGGAAGATATATCTCTTGTTTCACAAATAAATTWGAAGATCTTCTTTAGATTCAAAATGATATTGTGGATAGGCTCATCTTCTTCGGAACCAGAAATATAAATGCTGTGCTGATACAACATATCAATCTGATATTTCATATCTCATTGCCATGGTCCGGTCCACTGCCATTATCCACAAATCTTTCCAAATCCTTTGCCAAAGACTTAGCACGATTCAAAATCTGTTGTACGGCCATCTTGACAGAGCATCTCTTCGATGAATTTGTAAGTAAAAACAAGGTGTATTTGAGCAATATCGAGCAAACAATATAATAAGTAACGTACTCGAAACAATCAGCAAAACAATCTGCAATCTCGTACCCAGACCCTACTCATTCAATTAGTAGGTTCTGTACCCGTCTCTCCCGGCATGATTTGTTAGTGCTCGGCCCAGTCTCCAAAGAACGTCCAAAGTGCCGAATAACAAAAGCGAATTACGATAAAGTGAAGAACGACGGAAGTGAATATCGATGTAATTGAAAAACGACGGAAGTGGAGCATGACGTAGTAAAAGACAACGATATTTGTGCCGAACAATCTCGAAAGTAAATGATAAAACATGGAATACTGAAAGCGTATTGTTTGAACTGAAGGATTGAATGTTTGAACTGAAGGATTGCATGTTTGAACCGAAAGATTGCATGTTTGAACCGAAGGATTGCATGTTTGAACTGAAGGATTGAATGTTTGAACCGAAGGATTGCATGTTTGAACTGAAGGATTGAATGATTGAACTGAAGGATTGCATGTTTGAACTGAAAGATTGCATGTTTGAACTGAAGGATTGAATGATTGAACTGAAGGATTG